ACTGAGATACAAACATAATAATATAAAATTAAAATTAACAGTATAAAATAAGTAAATAAAGAATATAGGAGGAGAAAAGAGAAGGAAGAAGAAGTTGCCCTGGCCAGATCATATCTTTTATTTATTAATGGTGGCGGCCGTGGTGTTGGGCCATCCCCTCACAAAGCCCGGCACGGAGCATCTTCTAGGTGTGGGATCCAGACACCCCTGTGTCACCGTTCAGCTTTTTGGCAGGAGCAAGGCCTTAGTGAATTTTGAGGGCCTTTGGGGAAAGTATTGGTTGATGGCAGCAGAAGTTTCTTGGGGTGCAACAGGAGAAACGGAACCTTAAAGCCTGTCGGCGTTTGCACGCTGGACTCTCCTTCTCTACACGCTTACGGGTCCAGACTAAAGTTGAACTGTGGGTATCGCTGAGCCATAGTGTAGTGAGTTGACTGAACCCAACCCATAAATCCACTAGTCCTCAAGGCATTGCCCCTCTTGGGTGGCTTCTGCCCATTTTTTAAGAAGTGAGGTTGATGTTGGTTTATTTATTGATCGATTTAAAACTTTGTATGCCGTCCATTACTGTCATTTCTGAACGGCTTGCAACATCATTGCAAACTACAATAAAATAAGATCAATTAACTATTCCACACTGAGCATCATTTAAAATAAGTTAAATTACTGTGTGTTAAAATATTGTTCAAATAAAAAGGTCTTGACCTGGCGCCGAGAAACATACAATGACGGTGCCGGGCGGACCTCTCTAGGGAGCGCATTCCATGGTTGGAGATTCCCACTTCTACTGTTTCTGGTTTCATTGGAGTGGCTGGAGTTTGTCCAACAGAAAGCGGAGGCCATAATTGTAATCAATGAATATACTACTGTATGCATCTTCTGTTGATAGCTATTTCTTGTCTTTGTTTGGGATTTCCCTCCATGGCACAGATACCAACATGCAGCGGAGAGACTTTAATTGGGAACCCAGGGCAGTAGCAAGGAAAATGTTTTGTTCCCCAGTGCCAGGGCTGACTCCCTGGTTGAATTCACGTACCCCAGCCACTCCTAAAAAGCAACCAAAACCAAACTGCTGGGAGATTCCATCAAATATCATAGTTACTGGGTGCTGTTGGGCTTTTAGTCCTACCTCCACAAAGGATTTTGGATCCTGAATGGTGCATGAAGAATAAATTTACTTCCCTGATCACTGGAAGTGCACAGCAGACCTTACTTTAAATCCATGATTGAATTTAATTATTCCTGTTACTCTAGAGCAGATGCAGAAGACATGACTGAAAGTGGACTGTTAGGAAAGGTTTTTTTTAAAGATCGGGACCACCCCCATCTCTTCCTGGGAGCCAGTGTGGTGTAGTGGGTTAAAACACAGGACTAGGACTCCAGATCTGAGTTCGAATCCCACTCAGTCATGGAGCCAACTGGGTGTCTCTCAGCCCAGCCTACCTTGCAGGGTTGTTGTGGGCATAAGAGGTAGAGGAGGAAGAAAAGTGCACCAGCTGCCTTGAATTCCTTGAAAGGAAAAAAGGTAGGATATAAATATGATGAATAAATATAAATTGTAATAATACTGGCCCTATTATAATAATGAATGATGCTGTTCGGTGCACATGCGTATGAGCAAATTCAGCTGCTGGAGGTGGGTTCAAAGTAAGGTTTGCTTTGGCCCTGAAAGGGCCCGTTGTGAAATGGATGTCAACCAGCCGTGTTTGGCTTGGAAGAGAGGAGGTCCTTGCGGGCAGGAGAGCTCTCTTCGGTGACCTGATGGGCTGCCCCATAGAAGTGGGCAAAGGTGTGTCCAGGAAGGGGCGAAGTTATGGGACGGGGGCCGTTGAGTGCAGACTGAGGATCCTCTTGAGTGGAAGAGTGGTGGGGCGATGCCAGTGATTCTCCAGTGACCCCGAACTGGGAATTCTCTCGCTGGCGGATTTCCTTGTGGCCCTAAAGTTCTGTGGTTCCGCGACCCCGAAGGGGCCTGGCGTCCGAGTGGAAGCCTCCGGGGATCGTTCAGTGGCACTTCCATGCTCCCCATTTGCGGGGGGAGGGGGGTGGGGAACCCTCGGAAGGCCTGCTCTGACCCCTCGCTGTGATGCTTTCCCGGCTTGCCCTGCAGAAGCCTGAACGAGCTGCGTGCGCTGCTGATGGAAGCGAGCCGGCACTCGCCCGGCCCGGAGCGGGACCTGAGCCGGGAGGTACACAAGGCCGAGTGGAGACTGAAGGAGCAGAAGCTCAAGGACGACATCCAGGGCTTGCGGGAGAAGCTGACGGTGTTGGTGCGTGTGGGGCTGGGGGGGCGGTTGGCTTGGCGCAGGTGCCCGGCGTGGCGTGGCGTGGCGGTCGCCCCCGGGGCTGGAGGGCTGGACTGCAGGGAGCCGGGCCTCCCCGCTGCGCCTCCCTGCCTTTCCAAGCAGCCCCGTCGCTCCCAGGGGCAGCGGCCGGATCTCCACCGGGGGCTGAGTGATCGCGAGGCGCGACCCAGCTTGCCCGCCGACTCTCCCGACCTTTCTCAGGTTCACGTCAAAACGTCTGCCGGTCTTGGGAGTCGTGTTCCTGGGAGAAACATGAGGTCTGAATCGAAGATTAGCTTAGGCAGTATGTTGACTCTCCGGTCACTTAGGTGCCACCTCTGGTGCTGCAGAAATCGGCTGGGTTTTGCATTCCCCTGCAGCACCTTCTTGCAGCCGAAGGTGTATAAAATGTTTCTAGGACCTGACTAGCAAAACTTTTGTGAAATATTGTGAGTATCCTACCAGTATTATTAATAAACTTTGCAGTAGATCTCTGAGTCGCAGCCCTTTGGCAAGAATAAATATAATTTCGAGAAAAACAAACAATGTCCAAAACAACAACAACAAACAAAACCCACCCCACAACACTGCAATAGCTGGCCTTGTGTATTTCACTACTGTATTGTGTATACTGTTGTATACTGTTGTATAGCATTGTAGTAAAACTCTCAGCCTCAGTTTTCTCCTGCAGAGCAGAAGTGTTGATAATGCTCTTTAGCTCAGCGTTTTGTTTAGCCACATTGCCTAGTTTTAGGGTGTTGCATTAGAAACACCGCTGTCTGGTAATTGGGAGATTTATTCATGGGGTGCAGGAGAGAACGGACTGTCCTTTGCCCCAAGCCACAGTTTTGTGTTTGGCCTCGGCTGCCAAACCTCAGAGCTTTGGCAAATAGCAAAAGAAATGCTCCAGGCCCGAACTTGGCCTATTCCTGGCCTGTCGGTGCTCTCTTCCATTTTGCCTGCCTGCCTGTTGTTGTTCCCATTTTACAGAGGGGAAGACTGAGAAAGAGAGGTTTGCTTAAGGCCATTGAGTGAGTACCTGGCAGAGGTGAGATTTGAACTTGAGACTTCCTCTTCCCAGATCAGTCTGTCTGCTTTTCAGAAAAGCAGCTCTCTAGATGAATGGATGCAAAACTCCTCTCTCTTCTTTTTCTGTTGCTGATTTTAATACTTCTTCATTCTGTATATCCACGTTTAATATTTTAATATAGTAATATGTGATGAAATGAAATGAGTTTTTTATCCTCAACATCCAGGACAAAGAGAAAGCAGTGACAGACCAGCGGAGATTCTCCCTCATAGACCCTTCCTCAGAGTCGGAAATTCTCCGGTTGCAGCATCGGCTGGTCAGCACGGAGGATGTCTTGAGAAATGCCTTGGAGCAAGGCCAGCAGATGGAGAAACTGATGGAAGCCATGAGAAGCTGTTCCGAGAGAGCGCAGGTCAGCATCACCTGGATTTTGGAGTAGCCGCCGCATCCATCATCTGGTCCCCGTTGAGCACCCCGTGTGGCTTCTCTAGCAAGGTCCACCCACTGTGCAGACTCAGAAATGAGGCACCAGGTTTTAATCTCCGGGTCTTCCCCTCTTGGCCAAAATTGTGCTGTCCCTCACAAAGTTGTCTCAAGCTTTTCCCTGCATAACTTGGCTGGGTTTGTTTCTGGGGGGATCGTATTTCTTAATGCAAACATATTTGCCATTTTAAAAATGTGGCATCCTTTATCCAAAGACTGTGACCAGCAAGATTGGTGTTCAAACGGCCACTCGGCCAGGAAGTTCACTTGGGTGTATTTGGACCAGTCACCCTAAATTCTCACATCCTAGACTACCTCACAGGGTGGTTGGTAGATCAAGAGCTGGATGTGTTTTAGGGCAAAATGTACTTGTTATGAGAACGACCACAAAAGTTGCAGCGCTCTCCTTTGAGCTGCTCGGGTCGCAAGGCTTCCTCCGTAATGTGCCATGTGTCCCTCCAGCTTCCCATTTTCTGGCACAACGCCTGTTTTGCATAGCTGTTGCTCTGGAGGGAAGAATACATCCAAACTGGGCACTGTTTCTTGTCGCTGGACTTTGCTTCTGGCCAAGTTCTCTGCACTGACAGGCCGGGGGGAAGGTTGAAAGCACCCATCGTCCAGATTCTGCACCAGGCACAAACAGTTCCCTGCGTATTTCCCCCCCACCCCCGGCATGTCTGTTTATCTCTGTGTTGGAAATGGGATTTTATTTTCTGGAGAAATATTTGGGTGTGTCACCTCGATCGAGACCTGCCAAAACATAGACGCTTCCCACCATGTACAGACTCCCTTCTACAGTCTGTGAAATGGTTAGCTCCAGTCACAGCTGTGCCATCTGTGAGAAGCAGAACTTGTGAATGCCCTGGTTTCAGTCTCAGAAGGTAATCCTAGTGGTACCTGGATTTCTTCATCGTGGTCTCTGTGCATCTGTTCTTTTTTGGCAAAGGAAAAGATTAACATAAAAACATTTTTTTAGTTCTGTTTTCTTAAAAAAGAACCTTGGGGCTTTCCACATTCTCTTCTTTTTCATCCCTTGCTTGCTTTTGGCATCACATAAAGATGTCCATTTTTAATGCCCCACCGTCTATTTCTTAGGTACCTTCCAATGGTGAAGCTTTTGTAAAGCAACTTTTTTCAAACCACTCTTTTCATTTTAGATGATGGGAAACTCTGAATCAGCTAATGGGATCCATCAGCAGGATAAACAAGAGGTGGGTGATTTTTAGATACTTGTCAAACATCAGTTTTCCCCCCTTGGTTTTGCTGATCCAACAGATAAATGACGTCCGTTTCTCCTTTTTGGTGCTCGTGTTTTCGCCAGTTAAAATGGTGGCCGCCCCTTTTATGGAAGCATAAGATGAGTTTAAAAAGCAAATTAATCATGTTCTCAGCAATGTTCTTATGCTGACTCTTACGATGCGCAGCAGATCGTTTTGGCACCTCTTGTACCAGAAGGGGCTTTGCATTCATCGGTTTACCTTTCACAGCCTTACCCGTCCTTTGCTTTCTGCAAGGTTTGCTGGATTCCTGCATTTCGTTTCTCACTTCTAGCATAAACAGAAGTCAACTTTGGTCTCCTACCAGCCACGTCATTCTAGGAATCCTTTTTGAATGAATCAGAACATCTCTGCATGCCATCCGTGTCTTCGGGCTGGCAGCATCCAATGAGATGTCTCTCTGGGGTGATGTAGGTTGTACCAGGTTGGCATCGGGGATAGAAAGAGGAAAGCCAAATCATGGGTGGTTAAGCAGGAGCAAAATTCAGAGTCCTTTGCCCCCTCACCACAGCTGCAGCACTTTGATGGTGGCTTGTGTAAACCAGTTTCCTGTTCCATCAGAAACAGGAAACTGGGTTTTAATGCTGATTTATGTTCTAGCAAGGGACTGCAGGTGGCGCAGTGGTTTAAATCGCTGTGCTGGTTGATCGAAAGGTCGCCGGTTTGAATCTGCACAACGGAGTGAGTTCCCGTTGCTCCGTCCCAGCTCCTGCCAACCCTGCAGTTCAAAAGCGTGCAAATGCGAGTAGATGAAAAGGTGCCACTCCGGTGGGCAGGTAACAGCGCTCCGTGCACTTCGGTGTTTAGTCATGCCGGCCACATGACCATGGAGACTGTCTGTGGACAAACGCTGGCTCTCTCGGCCAGGAAATGGAGATGAGCACCGCCCCCTAGAGTCAGGCATGACTGGACTTAATGTCAAGGGGAAACCTTTTCCTTTATGTTCTAGGATCTGAGACAAGCATCATTAACTACCAGGGATAGCGTTTCCCTGGTACCAGGGTAGCAGGTTGGGGAGAAAGCTTTAACTCCACTTTGGTGCACCTCATCTTACCAGAGAAATTCTCTTCAGAGGCTATTTAAGTTTAAAAGAACAGAACAAGCATCCAGGCCTTCCTACAGTTGATGTGATGTCAGTTTCTCCTCAGATGGAGGTTTTGTCACACTAAAGCCAAGCCTAGCAAGATCTCTTCTCAGGGGGAAATAACTGGCTTGCATCAGAGTTCACCTGCTAAGCAAAGCCGTTGCTTTCTTTGAGAATGCTTTGCGGTTTGCAGAGGTAATGCCCATCAGAGGAAAAGACGCGGTGAATACCCACTTGGGCAAAGCTGCTTCGCGGGGCAGAAACCCAGCATCCAGCCGGTGTTGTACTCTGTGTGCATCCAAGTCATGGGAGGAATGGCTGGGGAAGATAATCGAGTGAGGGGGAGTTGAAGGCAGAGGAGAAAGGGCAAACCAGAGGGGAGGTGGGTGGGCTCCCTCAAGGAAGCCACGGTCACAAATGTAGACGGGCTGAGCAGGGTCCGGATAGGACCGTTTGGGTGGCCCTCTCGTCCTTTGGGCCGCCCTAAGTCGGAGATGACTTGACGGCACATGCGAGCATGTTGAATAAGGACAGCCACTTTCCCAGCGGTGACGCGGTCTCTTCTCTTTGCAGGAGAGGCACTGATGAAGGAGAAGAGGCTGAGAAGGGCTATGAGATGCTCGGGTTTCCTCCCGAGAAGAGGCAGCACGTGGAATACCTCCTCTCTGGTACCCGAGTCCCCGTTTAAGCACTACCTAAAGTATTTCTGCTCTACAAACACTACAGCATTCATGGGAGTGTGTTCGCAGGTATAACCAGGACGGCCCAACCCCAGAAGTTCCGATTTCCCAAGCTGGGTCGGTTCCTGAAGAAAGCGGTACCGCATTTGTGTGTTCGACTGAATTTATCCACCTCTATGTGCAGCGCCGGGTGACTGGCTAATTGGCATGGGCCTCCTGGTGCCAGCTTTGGGGCGGGGGTGGGGTGCCCATCTGCGCTGGCTGGTGGGGGTGCCCCATTCCACGGCCCGTGGGGAGAGGTTGGCCAGGACCTGTATGCGGCTTTCTCCTGCCAGATGCTTGCCCTTGTCCTTTCCGCACTCGACATGCCTGCAGAACAGCCGCGCCCAGAACGGTCGAACGTGGGGGCAGCTTGGTCTGGAGACTCCCCAGGTGGACGACCACCACATCAGCGTCCCAGCGGACAGGTTCCGATTCATCCTAGCCGTGATCACGCGGGAGAAACGTTTTGGAGTGGACCTTTCTTTAACTTATTTTAACTTTGGTAACTGTCAAGTCATTGGTGGTGGTTTCCGATTATGGAAACGGTGGTGGACCTTCTGCCGGTGCCTGTAGGAGCTTCTCATCTGACCGTGGGAAGCCTGGCGGCTCGCGCACCCGTGCCAGGCAAAAGCAGAAAATGCCACAGTGCGGCGTTCAGCAAAGCTTTTGCAGCAACTTGGCATCTTCCGATAGCTGGCACGGCAAAAGACGCAATTCCCAGCAGCTGCTGGGGGTGATGGGGGTTGCAGTCCAATATATCTGAAGAGGGGGTGGCTTGGGGAAGGTTGCTCCAGGGAAACAGCTGGGTTCTTCAGCTTCGCTTCTTCATGGTTCCCACTCAACTTGTGTCGTAATTCTGACGTTTCCCCAGTGACTGGAGGATTATTTTTAATAACTCAGCCCGATTTAGACATGTGCAAAAAAACAAACGAACAAAAAATCATCCCCGTGCATTGTCCTGGTTGTAGACTGCAGGGATGTGTTGGTATATCTGAGTGCTGCAGCACCGGAAATGACAATACAGACCTCCCTGCTTGTAGAGAGCTAGCATGTCAGGGAGAAGGGTTCACCCTGGGGAACTTCCTGCCCTGCTGTTTCCCTGCTTGTGTGGAGCAGCACTGTAAGAAGCTCCTCCTCGCAAGAGCTGATGAGGTCCCAGAACTTCCGGCCCACCACGGTTCCCTCACTTCTGCAATTGGTCAAGTATTTCCTTGCATGTATGAAATCTGAACTGTAGAGCTTAATCTCCCAATGGGATGGACTTGTGTGTTCTAACATGAGTGTTGGAGTGAAGGGGGTTTTGTATGGTGGTTTTGCCTTTCCATAGTGGTACGCAGGTTTGAGAGAGAGAGAGAGAGAATCTGCGTGTGTTTAGTGTTACAAAAGCCTTTTTTAAATGAAGAGATCTCAGTATTAGAAAAAGCACCCCAGGCTTTGAATTTGGATCCAGTTTGCTCTAAAATCAATCCATGGGGTGAACCTTTGCCCCCACCCCCACTGCACCCACACTCCAAGCCCTGTGGACTTTCTGTGCCTCTCCACTGCACTCCCCCCGGTATGTGACAGACAGGAGAAAAGCCACACCGTGCAAAACTTGAGTAATTTACTTCTTTGGTGCCCAGCCCAGATGACACGCGTCTGACATCAAGCAGAATAGCTATCCAGTTTGCTCTCTGTGCAAAAGATTTTCCTTGCAAATTGACAGTGCTGCATTTCAGAAATCGGAAACCTGTAAGGGCAAACTTCAGTCCACAGGAAACTGAGCCCAAATTCTAGTTCAATCCTAGCTCAAATTCTAGGATTTTCTGGTACCGTAGAATGGCTTTCCCATTGAACTGGGCAGAGATAGTTCTGACTATCAATCTGTAGGAATGCAGCACTGCCGTTGCATTTTTCTATCCATTTCTTATTCCCCAACCATGTGATTTACCAGAATGGCACAGACCTTTACAATACTTTTTTTTGTCATGGAACAGAGCTCCATTTCCTTCTCAGTTCATATTTGATGTGTGAAGAGCTTTCCCAAGATCTGTGGCATTAATTGGAAAATCAAAGAAAACACCCACCCAGTCTTGTGTTTGCCTGCTCTAATTTTTGTGCGCCGCATTCACCTTCCGCTGCAGTTTTGTCCAACCTGTGCACCACGTGAGCTGAGCTGGGGAGTGGATGCAGTGGACATTTTCTGCTGTCTTCTTGCTCCTCTCTCTTCTCCCTCCAGGGTTTGTTGAGAAATTGATCATGTTAGGAGGTGAGATAAGGAAGCAGAGATTAAGGGGGCATCCCTGTGCAAGTTTAGAACAAAGCCTACAACTCCCAGCATGCCCCTGTCAGCATAGCTGAGGCATTCTGGGTGTTGTGGGCCTTTCTCAATCAAGTTGGCATCGGGCTGCACTTTCAGTCGGTCTTTTTGTGGGTCTCTAAAGGTGCTGCGTTAGTGGTGCGCTCATTCTCCGTCTGGTTCCTATTTCTTTGTTTTGATGAATTAGTGGATGGACAAAAACATCTGTCTGCTTCCAGTTCTCTGCCGTTCCTCGTCTTGCTGGTGGCCTTTCACTGCGCTTTTTCAACAGCTTTATGCACAGGGACTGTTTGGAATTGAACTCCAAAGGCTGGCCAACATTTCCCCTAAGGAATTATTTCCATTCGCTTGGCAGGGGCTGCGTTCATACAGATAGAAAAAGCTGCTTTCTGGTGAATCTTGCTTTTGCAGGACCACACGGGCTTGTTGCCTCCTCCTCCTAGTAAAAATGGATAATTAAGTTGGCATATGAGGTGTAGTATGACCTCTGAACCTGGCATCCTGGTTTGCTGAACCTTCTACAAGTCAGAATTACAAGCCAGTGTTGGATCCTAGCTTATGAATCCTGGCTCATTTAGAAGCAACAAGCCAGGATTTGAGGGTTGGACACCCCTGCAGGCTCTCTATTTTGTGCTAGTTTTGCTGCTCAAGGGGAGCCACGTGGGAATAAAGGGACTGTGTAGATGCTCACTCACAACAAGAGAACGTTGGGTTTCCTCTTCTGTGTGAACTGTCTCTTAAAACAGTGGGCCCAATGATCTATATTCTAGTTTTCCACCCCAGTTACATCACAGCACTAAGAGAATCTTATATACTGCCATGGATCCACCTTTCCGTCTATCCTCTACATCAGCAGAAAAGCGTGAAGGGCTTCCACAGAACAAGGCAACACTAAAATAGTTTGGAAAGGACTTGTCTATCTGGTTTGTTTTCCATTTGTTCAGGTTGGAAAAGGCTTAAGGGTCACCTGATGAAAGAACAAAGGTTTAGTACCAGTCGGCTGCTGGGGGAGACATCCCCCACATTGCCAAAAATCCAGAAGGCCAAATTACGTCCCCAGTAGGAGTCATGACCAATTTGCAAGTGTTGGGTAGCAGTGCAAATTTGGCTCTCCTTTTCTAAGTCAAGGCACCGTGGCACATGCCTAAGCCGTCTTTGGAGTCCGAATAAACGTGCCTGGGAAGTTCACATGAAGAGAGAACCGAGGTCTCGGCGCGAGTCTTAAGGGAAAGCTGCCTAGCGATTCAAGACATAATTGTGTATGGATGTATTAATCCACTAAACAAATTGACCCAACTTACAGAACTCCTGCGCAGGACCAGAAAAAGCCGCTGCTAGATGTAATAAAATGGATAACCTTTTACCCACGTGGTATGTATTCCAATTTTGTAGTTTTAGTCACTTTTTTGGCTATCAAATTTTGTTAGATAAAGAAAATCAGTTCGACAGCTAATGTCTATTTTGTTATTGGTTCATTTTTTTTTCCTCTGTACAAAAACGGGACAGATGGGAGTCAGTTAAGTGTAACTGCTTCTGCAGATTATGTATTCATGTATCTCAAGCCGTCAGACTGGCTTGCCGAAGTGAGATGACCTCATACTAAACCAATAAAACCTTATGGTGGAAGAGAAGCACCCATGTTTTCCTCTTGTCCCTCTTCCAAGGATTCTGGATGGCACAAAACAAGGAAAGCTTGCAAAGATGCTCGACTGTAGGCTAAACTTTTGGAACGGGTGATTTCAAAATGGTTCTTCGAAAACTCTGTGCAGAATATAAGAATTTCAGTGGTTTTGCTATCAAGAAATTCAGTGGGCCTACTCTTCTCTCTCAGGGAAGGGGGTTACTTGTGGCTGCCAGCTGGGGATGATTGGAGTTGTAGTCCACCATCATCTGGGAGGCCTTGGAATCTCTGCCGCACCTGTTCTGCCACAACCTTCCCTTCCATTATTTCAGGCCTTTCAATCCCTCTGTTAGTCCGTGCTATTCTGACTCTCCGGCTCATGTGTATTGAAATATACTAATGCATTTAATTTTTATTTTGCCCATTTTTGTAGGATGGTATCTATTTTGCTCTCTCCACCCCCATTTTATCACAACAACCCTGTAAGGTACGCTAGGTTAAGTGAGTGGTATAGGATCACACAGTACCCTTCCTGGTTGAAGGGGAATTCGAACCTGGGTTGCCCCAGTCCTAGCCTTATTTATTTATTTTGCAGTGGATATGCTGTCCGCTAGTCCATATGGATTCTTTAGGTGGCTTACAATAGAATGAATACCAAAATCCACAACAACAGTTAAACCAAGTATATATAAAACCCATAACAACAGAACCATTAACATTAAAATTATATCAAGCAAGCAGGACAAACAGATGTCAAAAAGGCGTAATGGATCTAATTCGAATCAAAGGTTAAAATCCTCAGAAAAGAGAAACATCTTTGCCTGGCGCCAAATGAAATCGGATTTCCTTGGGGAGCCTATTCCGTAAATGAGGGGCAGCCACGGAGAAGGGCCTTCTTCTATTCGCCATCCCTTTCACCTCCTCAAGGAATGGCTTTTTCAGAAGGACCTCCTGCCAGATCTTAATGGGCAGGTAGGTGGAGATGGGAGAAGGCAGTCCTTCACGCTCAGCTGCTACCCTGCACCGTTTGGCTGTTGCATGGAGCAGTCCACCCCGCTACATGGCAGCCACTGCGGTGTATTCAATGCACAGACATTTCGGGAGAGAAGGTTCAGTTATCACCTGCATGAGGCAGGCCAGGTAGCTTCCACAGTGCCGCATTTGAACTAGAAGGTGAAGGAGCGAGACACTTGGGCAGCTGCCGGAGACCCGGCGGCGGCTGGGCTCCTCCGTCCAAGCAGCATCAGCCTCGCTGGGCTTCTTTGCCGATGACCTTTATGGTCAGGTTCGATCCTCTGAGCATACCCGGAGCGAAGGGTTGAACCCTTTCTGCCATTCATTACCCAAACCTCTCTTTATGAGCCGTTCTACATCGTACCCCTGGGAGAGGAATGCTGTGAAAGCGGGCATGCCTGAGCAACTCCGGTTGTGCCCCTGGCTGGACCTCTCTCCAGTGATGATGTCTAACAACTGAACTATTTCTTCAAGAGGTGCGAGTTCCTCATTGGAGAAACTACCATTTCAGTGTCTCCTCCCTCGGGCTACAGCCGAGTCCCACGGCCGGGTCGACTGGTCCTGTCATCTGTCCTTGGGCTATTGTCCCCTACAGCTAATTCCTGTGGAATCTCAGGACCTTGGACTGCAGCTAGGCTTTCAAATGCTTCAGAAACAGTTACCTCTTCAGAATTTGAGAATGGGTTGCCTCCCATTTCAGAGAATGGGATGCCTCTGAAATCACAACAGAACCACGCCACCTGGTTTGTGGGGCAGGCATTGTAGAACGGAGAGGGGCCGAGGAGGAACTCTCTGCGTTCATTAATCCAGTGAACCAACATCAGGCTAAGCGAGTGGCCCAATTAAGTGCGGCATTTTCACTGTCTGGCCCACAAGCAGCACAAACCTCCGTGAGGGTGGTGTTAATCCTTTTTGGGGAAAGAAGGGAGGAAAGCGACTTCAGTTTGGAATCAACTCTTCCCATGGGCAAGAGCTGCTCCCATGAGCTGGAGGGAGCTTGACTTTGACTGATGTGACTCGAAAATGATCCTAAGGAAGCACTCTACGAGTACATCACTGGAACCCCGTCTAGCTGAAAAAGAGGACTCTTCTTCAGCTTCTGTCTCGATCTGCTGGAAAAGGGAAGGGGGAGAAAGCACTCATGGCATGAGGTACCCCAGCTGCCTGGACGCCAGGACCGCCTCAGCCACTGGGTTGAACATTTGGTCAGCTGAATCTGAGAACTACCTGGCTCCCGCGGTCCTAGAAGGCCCAATTCTGCCGCTCATCCGTCAGCCTGAGCCCCTCCTGCCTCTGAACCGAGCAGAGCAGCTTGTCTTGGGTTCTGCCTGCATTGTGCTGTCCTGAACTTGGGGTACTGTTTCCAGATCATGTACTTATTCCCTGCTGGGGACCATGACTTGCCTCTGAGCATAGGAAGAGTGCCCTTCTAGTCCAGTAGAGACAGGATGAGTGGTCCCATTACCTGCTTTGGGAGATCCAGCGACTGAACGGCAACTTAGCACATGCTTATTTTGTTTATTGAAACCATTTTTAAATAAATGGCTGCATGAATCTCTCATTTTGACCGAGTCCCATCCCGCTGAGAACCGGACACTGAGATGTGGCCTCTCGTGGCCTGGCCGGAGCTGGATTCTGCCAGCTGGAGAAGCTGGAAAACATAGGAGCAGGTTGCGGAGGCTTCAGGACGCCAACTCTGTTCTAGGTGGAATGAATCTCCCACTCTTCGGGGGACAGTGTGAGGAGAGCAGGACTGCAAGGCTGCGGCCCAGTCCAGGAAAGGCCCTGCGTGTTTGAGGTGACTTCCCTGGTGGAAGTGATCTTTCCCAGTCTGTAGAGGACAGCTTGCGATCACGACTCCTGAGAGCTTCGGAACAACTTGGAGCTGCAGAACCGGTTGTGTGTATCCGTTCCCCACCTTGTTTTAATACTTTGCGTAGAGCGCAAAGGTCCCTAAATCTAGGCAGTCCCATCCCGGCACCCTTTGCAGATATTTATTGATTTATTTAAAACATTTTTATGCCATCCTATGCATAGCCTCAGGAAGGCTCACAACAAAATAAATAACCATATAAATACAATTAGAATTCAATGATGAACATTAAAACATTCAATTGAACCAATTATTCAAAATTAAAAGAAAAAAAAGATTATGTGACTGATTAAAATTTCTTATTAAAATTATTAATTATTGGAATGATGGGTAAATAAAAAGGTCTTTACCAAGATAAAGTGCTTGCATTGCTGCTGTACCACTAGGTGGCAGTGTGGTCATTACCAGATAAAATCCATATTTGCAAGCCTGCAACTCTTTCTGCCACCTCCTGCAGTTTATTAATCCCAGGTACCTTATCGGGGCTCCCCCTGTTACGGGGGAAATTTCCTGCCCCATTGCCCAATGTCAACCCAACTGTTTTCTGCCCCCCCCCCCCCCCCATTCAGGCCAGGAGAGAACACTTCCTCTTGTGCCTAAGCCCGGTTGCTCCATTACCTCACAATCCCTTCACCAAAATGTTGTTACCATGAATGAGGTTCTTATTTATTTCTTATTTTCTTTTCATGCTTAAGCTCTCTGGGCAGTTGACAACACTGCATAAAACAATACAATGCAAATATTACCAAAGCAAAACAACATGAAAAGGGATTTAAAGTTAATTTAAAGAGTTTTACAATTTAAAGAGTTTTAAGTTTCAAAAGACCCTTCCAAGAAAAAAGAATCCCTTGGGGCAAATCTCAGTTCCCTGGGTAAACAAGCAGATCTTTAAAGCTCCACAGCTGGGAGTCCAGCCCAAAGAAGATCCTTTCCCCTTGTTGCCATGTTCTGAGCCTCCCATGGGGGTGGCGCACGGAGGAAGAACCCAAAAGGTTGTCTGGGAAGATCCCGGTTGGGAGAGGAGCCCAGACGGTATTGTGGTCCCGATGTCAGCACATGGGCCTCCGCAGGATGCCGATCAAACCCGGTTCGAATATTTGCGAGCGGTCCTGAGGAGCATTCTGGCCTATGCAAGCCAGTTTCCAGAGTGGACGGCTAAAAGAGCGCGCTCCTGGTTTTAGAGAGAGCCCATTGCGGCACGCGTGGGCTGCTTCGTAAAGCAGAAATGCACGGATGCTTGATCTTAAGCATCACTCAGATGTAAATCAGACAACGGGCAGGACTCATTCCCTTCCCAGCGCAGAAAGCAGATGCTCAGAGCCATGTTTCCATCGGCTGATCTTTGCACGCGTGCTCTGCCCAAAGCGAGGAGGGGGCAGCCCTGAAACGTGTATTTCCTTAAATATTGGGAAGCTACCTTTCTGGCCCGAGTCCGAGCAAAGAGGGAACAAAACCCAAGCATGGCCACATAGTCATATAATATCATAACAACCTGTCAAAACAAAAAAGAATGAAAATACAATACCGGATGGTCTAAGCAGGCCGGTTTTTAAAAGAGAACGGTGCATTGCAGAGCCCTGGTGGTGATGGAGCCATCGCGCAATTGGTGGAATTCATCCGGAAAAGCCATTGGAAGTGGCAACGGTTGAATCCCTCGCAAGGGTCAACAGCGCTTTGGGATGAAAGGGAAGTGGATGCTGTGAGCTGGAGAGCTGCTGCCAGGTGGAGGCTGGGGAAATGTGGATTCGGGGTGGTGTTGATTATCCCGGGATAAGTGCAAGAAATGAGAGGACTCCTTCCCATCTGCTAAGCTACAGACAGCAGTGAAAAGCTTCCTGCGGTTGCCGAGAAGGCTGCGGTGGCGGTGGAACCACCAGGTGAGCTGCTCCAGGGATGGACCACATCTCTGGTTAAGGGGACCTAAGGAACTTAAGAGGAACTGTGTTGTATCAGGCCAGGCACACAGGCTACTCTGACCCTGGAGGTGGTGTAGCCCCATGAGGACTAGTAGCCCTCCTTCATGAATTTGGCCAGTCCTCTTTGGAGGCCCTCCAAATTGGTGGCCACCAGTGCATCTGGTGGAAAGGAATTCCATACTTTTAACTCTGTGGGGTGTGAAGATC